ATTCATAACTTTATGGCAGTATAAAAATGTTTCTCATTTTATATCTACTAAGGATCAAACCCCTAAGGAGTACAGAAGTTCTGTTGTTTATCATTTTAAATGTCCAGGCTGCAATAGTGATTATATTGATAAGACAGATAGGTGCTTAATAACTAGACTTAAAGAACATTCTTCACGATCTGATAGTGTTATATTTGATCATGTTAAAAACTGTGAGGCATTCCAATATGTTTTAGGATTACAGGGTATACTTGAAGTTGAGCTCTTAGTGCAAATTTTTGACTTTCCGCCATATTTCGAGTACTTTTCCGAAAAACTTCAAACTTTCAACTGGTCTATCCTATTGTTTAAAGAAGCGTTCGCTATACGTAGACTACACCCTTTGCTTAACAATGGGCTCAGAGCTTCAAAAGAGCTTTCTTTGTTTTTGTAGGTATCTTTGATCATTACAGTAAGAATGCTTTGATCTTTTGCTTAAATCACTGCTATGTCACCTACTAGAGGTAATGTTTTGATTGGTTAAACACTTTTGGTACTAGTGCATATAAGCTTGCTAATATGGATAATTTTTTCATTCCTGATGATGACATAATTAATGTCGAAATATTGAATCCCAACACGCGTGTATTTCCATACTTGGAGTATGTATTATACTTTCTTATCTGAGATTAATCAGTGGACCTTTAAATATCTGTGGTATCCGATTTAGCCATTGAGTTATCGTTGCTATGATGGCTAGGTAGGCTAGGCATGGACGAGTTACAGAATAATTAATATGATATTAAACCATGGAGTTATAAAATTATTAACAAAATAATTATCACTCCATGATTAAACATGCCTCTAGGCCTAGGGGCCAAGTACAGGCTAGTGTAGGACGAAGTCTACTAGGCCTACATAGGGCATAGGCCTACCTGTATTATTAGTATAGGCCTAGGCCTATGGCCTAGTATTATTATAGGCTAGTATTAATTAATAACATTATATTAATAATTGATTTACCCTAACTAGGCTAGGCCTAGTTTGGAGGCGGGCGGAGGGGTGTTTTGCAGCTGTCAGGCCTAATGTATGGTCAGGCCTGCCTAAGGTTTTTGATAAATAATATTTTCGTCATATATTATTACTCTTAGAAAATATGCCTTTTAAAAATTTGAAAATTAAACTTAGACCTAGGCTTATAGCCTAGTTGTGGATGTATAAAATTTAATAAAACACAGTAAAATGTACTATTTTATCAACTGGTATTAAATTTTATTTTTAAGAATGCATAAATCGGAGTTATAATTTAGATGATTAACTTAATGCCCCACCTCAAATCCCCTGCCCCTGTACGTATATATTTATTATTAATTGTATTTTATTCTTTCTTTCTCGCTAGGCCAGAATGGATGATTGTTGTCGGCTCTGTGGGTATAGCAGAGTTACCCAAACAGATTCATATAAGGAAGGAAATTTTCAGCTACAATTAAAACGTGCATTCGATATTGATGTCAACAATGATGATGAATTGCAACCTACTTTTATCTGTCAAAACTGCGTAAGGGCTTTGAGAAAGTGGTGGGATAAAGCCAAGAAAAACAAGAAAGCCACACTGAACATTCAGCTTGTAGAGTTTTCAGCAAATGGTCCTGAAGCTAAAAAGATTAAGTGGGATGAAGTTGTAGATTATGCTAAAGGCCTTGGGTTTGGTTATTGTGTTGATGGTGATTTTCATGTCTTTGCTGTTATGACGCACACAGGTCAAGCTAGAAAATGTATTTCTGTGAGTGCGAATGATTGGCAACTGTATAGTTACGGAAAGCTAGTGACGAAAGCAGGCAGTATAAAAAATCTGACTGTAAATTCTGCAGATATACAGGTATATGAATTGATACGTTGTGTGTCCATGATGACAAATTGCATAGGAAACAAAGACCTAAAATGTGTAAAGTCCGATTCCAGACATAAACAATGCCACATATTGATTGCTGAAGGAGGACGTTGTTTCCCTTGTAAAGTTTTTAGAGGGGATTTGATGTCATTGGCCCGTAAACAGCAAAAATCGTCTGTTTGTGATGTTCTGTCATCATCCACTAGAACTGACTACCTTTCTGTGAGCGAGCTTTCTCTTAAAGCCAATATACTTAAGCAGCAAAACAAAATATTAAAACGTAGAAGCAATCAATTGCAGGATAAAGTTGATAAATTCATCCATGAAGAGGCGGAAACAATTTCCAGAAACCAGGCCAAATTGCTCGGTGAAGTAATAACAGCAGATGAAATGAGCAATAAATTGTTTGATGGTAAGCCCGCAGCTAGATTATTGTGGCAACAGTAGCAAGAAGCTTATGCTAAAGACAAACAAATGCGTTGGCACCCAGCAATCATCAGATGGTGCATTGCGCTGAGTGCAAAATCAACCGGTGGATATGAGCTTCTCCGAGATAGTGGTTTTTTAAAATTGCCACATTTAAAAACTTTGCAGAAATACACGCATTTTGCATTGCCCAAGGCTGGGATTAGTGACGATTTTCTTGACAGAATGTGCAAGGATTTTAAAGTGGAGATCATGGAAGATCATCAGCGAAATGTAACAATATTATTTGATGAGATGAAAGTTAAGTGTGGCTTAGTGTACAATGTTCGTAGTGGCCAATTGGTTGGCTACACCGATCTTGGTGACGTATCAAATGATATAGCAGACTTTGCACGTTGCAGCAATAATGTTGATCCGCAACTAGGAACACATGTGCTTGTGTTGATGGTGAGAAGTATTTGGGGCCCATTAGTCACACCAATTGCATACTACCCGACAGAAGGCATTGCAAGCCGCTCGCTGTACCCAATCATTAACAAGGCTGTGAATATACTGGAACTGTTGGGATTGCGTGTTCATGGGCTTGTTTCAGATGGAGCCTCTCCAAATCGGAAGTTCTACAGCTTGCATTCGACCACAGAAGTGTGTAGTGCTGGAGTTACATACTACACCACCCATCCAGCGGACTTCAACCGAAGATTGTATTTTTTCAGGGATGCGCCGCATCTAATAAAAACTGCAAGAAATAACTGGGAGAACTCAAATTACCATAATAAAACAAGGAATCTACATGTAAGTCTACAGAATAAAAACTGCCTTAATTGCTAGAATAAATTTTAAAAAATGAAAAAATTAGTCTTCCTTATTCTGCAGTGAATTTAGACATGCCATGCAAAACCAACACATTTAAGAACATGCTCGCCCTATATTTACAGTATAGTATTGCAAACGCATTAAGATGGGCATGCCTGATGTGCATGAGACAGTACAGTTAAAGATGTATGTCTAGTAACTACCATTTTATCATTTGCAGTATTATAACTAACAGGACATTAAATGGACGCAGCTGCTAAACCTTTATGAGTGGGACACCGGATTGATAGACGAAAAAGTGTTGGGCTCAGGCGTTTAAACAAGATCACGTATGAACACCTTTACCTATCATCATCTCATCGGATGAAGGTTTACATGGCAGTGCAGGTACAAATTAAATTATATCCTCTCGCCAATTACTTTTTTTTTTAAATCATTAAAAGGGAATGTTATTTGTCCGTAAATGAAGTGAAAGATATGTTGCACATTACAGTACTGTATAAAGATTGAAAAAAAATTAAGTTCTTTAAATTAAATTTTTTCCCCCTTAGGTTTTAAGCACTACAGTTGCCAATGCATTTGAAGAACAGGGGAGAACAGACACAAAGTCAACACAGAAATTTGTACGGTACCTTGACCAGTTCTTTGACTGTCTAAATGTATCCAGACCTCTTAAAAACAATCGGAAATCAGTGAAGCCAATACAGAGTACTGTAAAGTGGTATAAAACTCTTATTGTAGATCACACATGTTAAGGGTAGGTGTGTAAAACTCATTTATATATATTTTTTTTAACTAGTGGCTTGGTGGAGAATTTCTTTCATTCTTTGACGAATGGGAAGATGAAGTGAAAATGATGCCAGATTTAACTGACTCGCAGAAGAAAACTTGGATTGCACTCAATTGAAAGTTGCAAAGCATTAAGTATCACTTTACAAATTTAACAACAGTACTTTAATTTGTAAACATGTCAACAACAAAATACAGTCTATTATGCTGTCTCTAAAATTATATTATTAATGCACTTGTCTTTCTTGTTAATACTGTACATATTTTTTTTTTGGTTAATTTGCACAGCAACAAAGTGGCATGGATGTTAACATTATAATTCACAACAGTAAACTTTAACTATTAAATTAATTCAAGTTGGTAAGGCCTATATAGTACCACCGTGGAGTACGGTGATTGTATACATGTATACAGTAACTTTTTATTGTTTTCAATTTGTACCAATAACAATGACTAAAGATTGTAAATTGTGTAAAAATATAGTCAACATATTACAATGCTACTCTTATTAGTCATACACTGTATGTGTAATTTATTAATTGTTTTTGAGGGGTGGCGGTGGGTTGGAAGCACTGAAGTAAAATTAATGTTAACTATTACCAAACAACAAAACATTGTACAGTATATTAAATTAATCTTGTTGTATTGTAGAGAGTAAGTTATGTTTTGTTTTCGGACTAAATTGTGAGAGTTATGAAGACACAGTTTTGCGTAGTGCCTTCTCTCCCCTTTGCGACACAGATGTATTCTTCTTCTTCTTCTGCAAATCTAAATACACCTTAACAAAAGCTTTGCTTCTAATTTTTACCCAGTACATAAATACTTTCTGTTACAATTCTAAAGAGAGTTTCTCGGGTAGTCTTCCATTGACAACTGCACACCAACAACGGCCAATCTTTTTATTTTGATTTAGTTTCCCCATTAATAAATTAATTTTATAACTCCATGTTCAATGTTTCTATTAGGGTTACTCGTCCGCAGGACAAAATAATGAATAAGTTTCACAAACGTTCTGTTAAGGTGATTGCGTTCGCTTTTGTGTCTGCTCAATAATTCAATTTATTGTATTTTGTATACCACCAACCTATTGTACATTTTTGTATTTTTTATATTGTATATTAGTACCGTACTTCGTACAAAGGTTATTGACGAAAAAAAAACTTGCATTGCCAAAACAAAAACAACTCTGTGAATCGTATTTTTTTCGTCAATAACTTTTGTACTTCATGTTTGCTAAATAATACATATTTGTATTTGCATTGTATTTTTTGATCCACAATGTCTCTATGAAATTGAAAAAAAGTTTCCCTTCTGAGAATATGTTATAACTTTATTTTAATGACGCATCGATTAAACCTAGGCCCTATGCTATACGTTGATTCGGCAAGCAGCATTGTTCTAGATTCGACAACCGAGTTCTTCTCTTAAAATTTATTCACACTCACAGCTTCCTTCTGCGCTAACACTAATAATTCCGAGACTATTATTAATGTTGTTGCGTTGTTCTTTGATATAAATGTTGATTGGTAGAAACTGCTCGAAGAAAAACTACAATGATATAAAAAAAAGGTCTTATCGGACATAATAATGCCTGATTGTTTTGACAAAGTGTCTCTAATGCAATTAAACTCTAACAGAATTGAACCTGCGACTCGCTATCAATGTGAGTGACATACTATGGAGGAAATAAATTGACTCTTATGTCTCCATGTTAATACTGAAACCATCCTACTACCATATTTAGCAGAGTAGTAGGATGTTGGAGTTCAATCTAGACGTGTCGACACAGCATTCATTTACTTTATTTAAGATATTTTTAATACAGCTTGTTAAAGTCTTAATACAATGATACTCACGTAATTTATATATTCTTTAGAGTATTGTTACTTCAATGTTGTTTCTTTTTTTTTTTTTTTTGGTAATCGAATTTTGTTAATCCCATTTCTTATAATGCTGTCTTAATTATACCTATTTATTCAATTGATTTATAAATTCAAGTTGTTTGATGACGCTTTTCAACTTGTATTCGCAGCATTTATTAATTTAATTAATCTTGTTGAATTTCATTCTTTTTAATATTTTTATATACACTGCTTATAATATATAATTGTAACCATTTGTTATAATTCAGTTTTTGATGCATTTTGAAAATAAACCTAATAAATGAATTGAGAAAGGACAAATTGTTTGTAAATAATATCCAACCATCTTCGACAGTCATGAAAAATTTAAATACAGGTAAAGCACAAAGACTTTTCCAGACTATAAAATTTTGTTTGACAAACACATGTGACATACCTAAATATGGTCATGATGACATCATATCATGACCAAATTTAACCGGGCACATCATGACTATAAATGGGCATAGTTTTTGGCAAGGAAAATTTGATAGAGCAGCTCTTAGACGCGCCAGTGATTCAATATTTTATATCTCTATAGATTTCATCAATTCGCATTTACAATGGAGTATCTATTAGTTGTAATTTGTTTTATACAAGTTATTTGCACATTTATATTCATGCCAATAAAGTGCATTTCTGGTTTTTGAGACTTGAAGAAAAAATGGCATGTGTACGTGAATAGAAAATGATACTTAAACATATTATTAATAACAAATAAAAATAGTAATATATATGTCATGTATGTGTCAAGACATTATTCTAGAAACATCTGGAACTTCTTTCAAAAAGAACAAAAAAATTCTTTCAAAAAGAACAAAAAAAAAAACAACTACAACGACCTCCTTGCATTTCTCCTTATATTATTATTGGGCGTTAAAGAGTATATCCAAGTGGTTAAACATTTAAAGCATAAATGGTTGTCAAAATTCTTTACTCAGGTCTATATACACTTCTTAATAACTCTATTATCATACTCTTAATAATAGGCCTATAGCCCTTTAAATGGTACACAGAAAGTTTCCGACAGTGGCGGGACCATAACAATTGGGTCTTGACTCACGAGGAAACAGAAAGTCTAAAATAGGCTACACATTATTGAAATTTTAAATTATTATACGCAGCCTCGTATATATACACAGTATGTGTATATACACTGATGATTGGTTTAATTAATTTCAGATGACTTTATTCCTCGTAAGCTTAAGAATTTACTTACTTTTTCTGCAGTCAATTTGAGGATGGTATCGAACAAATTCCAACTTTCTAGCCTTTATCTAATGATGTTCTATTGAATATGTAAATCTATTTATTAAAGGTTGAATTGTGAATAGATACTGAATAGCGACCTCTATGAATAATAGAAAGGTTTACAGTAGTAACAATGGAGTTATATATCTGTTAATAAGAATGTGTTAATAACAATTTTAATAATAAACAGTCAAAATAATTGGATAGTATACTGTTATTTTCTTTATTGTCACATCTGTGAGTTTGAAAAAAATGATTTATACATACAATATTTCAAAGTATATTTTTTTAATTACGATGGACAGAGTGCCGTTAAATATAATATTTGTTTTCTTGTAGTTTATTATTATTGAACCATTGAAGCCCGGCCCATCCCTTTGGATATGCTAACCAGGGTTCAACAAAACGACAACGTAAATGTTACAAATATTGTAATATGTTTTATTGACTTTAGATATTCAAATAATGTTTTGTTTGTGTCAGAATATTCTGTTATTGGCCATTGTGATTGTTAGCTTTGCAAGTCAAATGAAGAACAATTTCGAGCAGATTCTATGGCAAACTCTCTAAACGATAAAAAGTATGATAAATTTTGGCAATCCGTTAAACGTATTAATGCGCATAAATCATACACCTCTGAAGTAATTAATGGAGTCAGGGGCAATGTTAACATATGTAATATCTGGGCCGACCATTATGAGCATCTGTTCAACCATGGAGAAAATAAAATGGTTCAACTGTGTCACATCAACTGATCAAAAGCAGCATGTTAACGATAAGCTAAATTACATAAATGATCATTATAAGGATTATCATATAACTCCTCAAATTATCCAGAATTTTATCTCAAAGTTGTCTTTAGGAAAATCGCGATGTGCGTGTTTGTTCTTAAACAAATTATTGAATATTATCAACGGCATGGTAGCCCAGTTTATACTTATTTTTTAAATTCGAGTAAAGCTTTTGACCGTGTGAATTGATTAAGAAAAACGTTCCTTTATTAGTTGTTAGAATCATGGTATGATAAGCATCAATTGTGTGTAAACAACATTCATCCAACCATTTTCCAAGAGTAATGAACACATTCATATAAACATCGTAATATTATCCTCAGAATATAGCACTTTAAATAGTTCAACAGAAAGTCTCAACGGATCTGAACTTATTCGGATGGGTCTTGTCTCCTAAGGAAGCAAAAATAAAAAATAGGCTACAATTTATAAATATTTTAAACTCTTAAACGTTCAACAGAAAGTTTATCTAATGATATATTGAATATGTAAATAATACTGATCGAAGGTTGAATAGTGAATAGGTACTGAAGAGCGACCTCTATGAATACTAGTGTTGTATCGGCATAACTATATATAAATGTTTTAAAAAAATTATATATATGTTTAAATAAAATTATATATATATATATATATATTTATATATATATATATAACCTCCAGTTATATATATGTGGTTTTGATTGTGTCGAGACAGAGAATGGATTTATACGCGTACACCTTGATGAGGGTTGAAAGGGTTTATTCATCAAAATGATACGGAACTGAAAGATTATAGATATAAGTCGTGTTATAGAAAATCACTGAAATAGTTAAAATATAATATTGTAAATAAGTGGAATGGGTTATTGTACTAATTAACTTTCATGTAGAAAGTAAACAAAATAATCTGCACACTGTAGAACTCAAATAAACAGAATAATCCATAAACTATAATTACTTAATCACTAAGTTACCAAAATTATAATTAACAAAGCACATACACATAATGCAGTCAACCTATTAAACTACTGAACATGTTACTTGTTGCACAGCATAAAGCCTATATTATAAGATACATCATAACAATTAAATCTAATCAAACCTAAATATAACATAAAATAAAGTTAAACTTACATCTGTATCCTCTTCAAAACCGTTGAGTAAATACAGTAAAAATTGATATTATAAGAAACAGTACAGTCGTTTAAACAATAGGAGTTGAATTGGGTTGAGTTGAATGTAGAGTGTCTACAATTAGAAGAATGCCAAGCCAAACCCTGCCAAAGGGGCAAGATAAGACAATAAGGCTCTCTGATTGGTCAGGACTAATTAGTGTGCCTGGCCTTATGATTACTTTAACATATTGAGCAGGCCCTACTGGTAGTGGACAGGGCTAGTAAAGGGTATGAAGGTCACTCTATACTAACAACAAGGGTAGATGATTAATTTGATTTGACTAGTTTAAACCTTACAATATATGCCAATACACTATTAGTACATAAAATAATGTATACATATATATATATGGGTGTATGTGTATATGTATGTATATGTATATATGTTTATATGATATGTGCGCATGTGTGTGTGTGTCTGTGTGTGTGTGTGTGTATGTTAACGCGAACGTTAAGGTTCGGTATTTCACAGAATAACGTTAACACAACGTTGCTGGACCGTTATAACGGCGTTGTGAAATTAAGTTATAAGTACGTACTTATGGTTCTACAAAATAACGTTTTTAAAATCAAATTGTAGCGATATGTTAACATACTTATAACGTAATATTGCTAGCTGGGTATATATCAGTATGCCGATACAACACTAGTAATTTAAAGAACACGCATGGAGCAGAGATTAATGCCGCTCTCTTCTTAAAGCATTTTTAACAACACAAGATCTCCGAAGAGTCCACTTTTTTTTTTTATATATGTCGCCAGTGAAGATATATATTCTTTACCGTCTTGCGGTAATGATTTATACATACATATAAATTTCAAACTTAGGATGAATCTGCGAGTGAAAAAGCAAAGGTCCCAGGATAATTGTACATATAATAGTTTCTATAATATTTATTTTAATTATTAATGTTGGGCAGAGGGCTGTTAACTATAATAACAGGTGTTTTCTTGTGGTTTATTATTATTGCACCACTCCTCTAACCCCACCACCCTTTGGATATGCTTACCAAGGTTCCATTCATCACAATTGTGATTGTTAAATCTGATATGGTAACAGAAATAAAGAGGCAGCACTCTGAGAATAAAGTTAGGATGCTATTCATTCAGCAAGAGCTAGCTTTAGCTAAAGCCATAAATATACAACACAAAATGCTTAAGATAATATAATACATACAAGTATCTAAATGCACGCCATCGTGTCGGGATTCTATATTTCGACATTAATTATATCATCATCAGGAATGAAACTTTTAAGCCTATAATTTACACGACGAATGAGACAAATCGTCATATTCCTCCTCTCATCACATATAACCCTCTAAACTAGAACTACGTATCATCAATGATTTCCAATCTATACCGGTACTAGATAGCGACAAAGAAACCTACCTATGTTTGAATAACACAGACCATGTAACCTAACGTGAAAACACAACAACTTACACCTAACGAAGTACCTCACATCACCACTACTACAACACTCCTTCATGTAACAACAAATACTGTATATAGTTCCATGTTTCTATACCAGGACCTAACAACAATTGACAACATTTAAAAAAATGAAAAGTTTTTCTCATCTAACATCTATTATGTTATTACCTACACCTAACCAGAAATGTTTTTTTCTTTTTTTGTAAAAGAAACTATTTTTACAGCAAATAAATGGCCACAAGTTTGACATTCGACATTATAAATACAGTACAACTGTTATTCATTTTAATTTACCAGGACATCAAATGTTAAATTAGTTATATTCTCTGTAATAATCTTAAAACCAAAACTAATAGATAGATCACTGAACAAATATTTATTAACAAATTTGATTGACAGCATCAAGTCTCTAGTCAATCTTAGTCATCATATATATAATTCAGTTGGTGTGTTTTCATTGCTTTAAATTACACGATTGTTACTCAGACCTTAATATTTCACTTAATTTATCCATTCAGATATTACTATACATATTTTGTGTTTATTCAACTTGTAGGTAGTTATTTATTTACTTACTATAATTCAAATACTGTATATGTATGTATGTATGTATGTATGTGTGTATGTGTGTATGTATGTATGTATGTGTATGTATGTGCGTGTGCTCGTGTGTATGTGCGTATGTGTGTATGTATGTATGTATGTATGTATGTGTGTATGTGTGTATGTATGTATGTATGTATGCAGGTGTGTGTGCATATTTATGTGTGTTTACTAGCTTACTCACTCTATTCTACTTACGTAATGTTGCAGTTAAAACACTGTAGCGGCAATGTAGCAGTTTTATGGAAACTCTGTTTTAAGTAAGGGCTGTAAAACTAAACATTCCATACTCAATCTCTAAACGAACATGATGGTCAAGTTAGAGGTACTGTAATTAGATCGTATGTCGTATTTAATACGTCAGGAATTTGAAGAGAAACATTTTGAAGAACACTCACTATGACTGAAGTTGTTCTGTCTATTTAGTGTTCAGTATCGACAGATGCACTAAAATTATATTTTTAAAAGTTTGCTCTGTTCAAAATATACATATGCTGTAATTATACTATGTTACACTTAAAACTCAACCCAATCAATAAGAGGAAATGAATTTTGAAGGGGCAACAAGTAATAGTTTCCATTGTACATTGGGCATTCTAAGGTTTGTTGTCTGGCGGTCCAAAATCTACGGTAACTTTGTCAGTCTGTGTTTGGTTGACTTGAGTGATTTTTCCTGACTTCTGTCCTCTTTCATCGTACGAGTCATATGAACCTGGAGGCCAATGTAAGCCTCTTTTCACTTCATCTCCAACTTCCATAAAATTTTTAGCATAACATTCCAGTCGACGCTGAAAAACAAAAAGGTTAAACTATATTCAATATTTAAACCATGCTTATTTTAAAAATAATTAAACAAACAAAAATAGGTATATTAACCGAGGACTGATTGCAACTGCAGGATTTTTTGACTACTGAAATAGCAGGGCACAGCGTACATACAGAACAACATTTGCCATACTGTTGTCATTATTATCAAATATGAGTTCTAATGGTTAGATTGAATGAATAAATATGAACATTTTCAAAGGTACTATAATGTTCGTCTAGGTGTTCTAGATTGTTTTAAAAGTTCTCACAACACTGTTAATTTCAAGGAGTCAATTTAACTCCAAAAGTGGAGTTAATAAAAAAGGTACAGAACGACTCCTTTTCTGGAGTAATATTTACTCTCATATTTTTACTCCCCAAAGGGAGTAACATTAACTCCAAAAAGAGGGTGATTCCCATCCCGTTTTTGGAGTTAATATTACTCCCTTTGGGGAGTAAAAATACAAGAGTAAATATTACTCCAGAAAAGGAGTCGTTCTGTACCTTTTTTATTAACTCCACTTTTGGAGTTAAATTTAACTCAATTTTTGGGGTTAAATTGACTCCTTGGAAACAATTTCAATAGACTACAAATCAATAAAGACCACACAAAAATTCTATAAATAACCATTCCTTTATTTTGTTTCACAAAATACATTATTCTTTTATCTTTACACGTATAAACCATGCCTATAATGGCAGATTAGCGAGAGAAATACCCCTTCAAAATGAATGATGTTATAAACTCTTATTTTCCAACTAGCAAGTGTAATGACATGTTTGTTGGCTTCCTTCATCTTTTCAAACATCTTGGATTCTAGGAAGATATAGTTCTTTGCTTTATTATGATACTGAATGTTAAAAACATAGAAGGTGCCCAGTAGAAGGGCTAGAGCCAGTGGCCTTCGCAATTCTTCTCAGCGCTCTGAGACTTACTTGTATAGAGCACTAAATAAAAACTTGCATATTATTATTATTATTATTATTATTCTCCTCCCCTCGGCAGCGAAGTAGAGTGGGATGACTTCTTTGAGGTTGCCTGACCTCAGCCGTGGAAAAATCAACTTCTGGATAATTTCGTCAATGGATTCATTCTCCTAAATGAAAATAAAAAATAATAACAAAAAATTAACAAATAACATTTTAACTGAAAAAAACAAACAAAAAAAACACAAGCAAATTATTTACATGGACCATCTATGGGATTTATGGGCATAACAATAACAAGATTTTTTTTATTATGTAACAACTTTCATTGCAAATGTAAACAAATACCATCTATCTGAGCTCTTCACTTTCAAAGCTGGGTAGGTTTGTGATGTTTTTGATGCTACTTTTGATACTACACTAAGGGTCAAGTTGATTATGTCGTTATTCCAAGGACTTATAACTGTTAGGAATCTGGCTGGTTTAAGCCGTTTAACTTGAATTAGCCTATGTGTGGTATTGTTATGCCAAGTTATTTTATAGGCATCAAGCTACTTTAATATGACTTCATATTTGTTGTAATTTCCAGTGGCGGATCCAGGAATACGAAATAGAATGGCCCCGGAAGGGTACTTTCACAGATAGAAAATCTATACTACCTCAGCCCCACTATGGTTGGGGCTGAGGTAAGAAAATTTGTGATGGACGGAAATTGCACTTCCAAACATAAAATTTGAATATAATTATCTTTATATCACTATTTTTGTATGAACAATTTAGCAGTGGGGGCCGGCTGGGTCACCTTGATTTCGCCACTGGGTACTTTAGCAGATGGAGGATCTATACCACCATGGTTGGGGCTGAGGTAAGAAAATTTGTGATTATGGCACCTCTAGATGGTGGGAAATTACACTCTCAGTCTTAAAATTTGAATATAATTTTGCTTATATCTCCATTAAAAAAAAATTGAACAATTTAGCCCCCGCCCCCCGCCCCCCTTGAATGTGTCACATATTTCCGAACAAAGTCGATGTTGAGATTGCTTCCATGATCTCAATGAATTATTTATCATAAGGGTTATCCTTAAAATGGGTTCCCCGACGACAACTTCACTTGTCCTCCGATGGATAAAAATTACCCTTCTATGTAGCCCAAAAATGATACTCCAATTGTGGCTGGTCCAGGAAATCGAAATAGAGGGGACTCAGGGAGGGTTTTGCGCAAATAAAATGTCCACCCACCTCATCAACTTTACAAACGCGCGTATACAGGCGTCAATCAACATTTGGTTGCTCAATTCAAAAAGGGAACTTGTAATGCTCGTTAGAAAATGATAAAAAAATCTATATATAGGTCAATTTATAAGGTGCAAATAAACAAGGTGTCTAAGCACCAAATAATAATAATGATGATAATAATAATAGTAATAACAATAACAAAAACAATAATAATAGTAATAATAATAATAATAATAACATTGCAGCATTCGTAAAATGTTTGTCACTGGTGCTGGGAACAGTCACAAAAGTGGGGGGGGGGCCCAGGCCCCCAGTAGAAAAAGTGGGTTGGCCAATGCCCCCCAACCCCTGCTTCCGCTGCCGTTGGTAAGGCGTGAGAGTCTCTAAAAACCTCTGCCCCTCCATGATTGGAGCTGAGGTTAGAAAATTTTGTGCAATTTATATGTCTAGGTGCTTGGAAATAGCACTCAAGTTCTTAATTTCGATATTTTTTTTCATTCACTTTGCTGAGGGCAGAGACCGCGCCTCCGAAACCCTGTCCGCCAATTTGTTAATTTTGGTTTTCAGGGGTGCAACAGTGGTGTGCAAACACATGCTTCGATGACGTCAGTTCACCCAAAGTTTCATAGTGCATGACACAAGGAACAAGCTCAGTGCAAGATGATGATGATTTAATTAAAAACAAATTAATTTAAACATATCAAGAAACCTTAATGGTTTTATTTTAGAAATAAATCTAACAAATTTAAATTTCATTCTCTACAAATTTCCTCCGTAATCAGGGGTGGCGGAAGCATTGATTGGTACGGTGTGTGTCTCCAATAACCTCAGCCCCACCATGTTTGGGGCTGGGGTTAGAAACTTTTTGTTTAACATACTGTCGTGTCATTTTAATCAATTTATTATAATCTCCATGGTATGACATCACAGTTCTTTTTCACGGCATCTGGTAGACCTATGTTTGTTGTTTTGTTCAGGGTTTAACTAATCGTCTCATTTAAGAAGTTGATTTTTGTGTTTATACGAAATTTTACATTCGGAATTTAGGAGAGTTTCGGAGTTTCGGAATAGAATACATATGTTATTTTAAGGCTTGGCTCTTCTTAAGTTATCGCGAGCAGCGACGATATCACCTCACTAAGCGACCCTATTTTCACCACATGTTCAGTACAGATTTACAGACACTGTCAAGTTCAAGTGGAAAATCCCAGATAGATCGTTCTGGTCATGCGTATGGACATGCATGGGCTTTCAAGTAAACATTCTGATCATTGCCTGCACTTGACATGCTAAAACTATCATTCCCACGCTAAGACAGAACGCTAAAACGATATTTCTTCGGCGATTTCGTTATTTAAAACATGGTTATTATACTACTTAAAATAACACATGTACCATATTCAGAAAATCCGAAACTTTCCTAAATTCTGAACATAATATTCAGTATAAACACAAAAATCAACTTCTTAAACAAGACGATCAGTTAAACCCTGAACAAAACAACAAGCATATGTCTACCAGATGCCGTGAAAAAGAACTGTTATGTCATGCCATGGAGATTATAATAAATTGATTAAAATGACACGACAGTATGTTAAACAAAAAGTTAAACCTTCCACTAGGGTGATTCTTTTCAGTATCCTGGCGTTTTAAAAACTTAAGTGCTATTTCCGAGCATCTACACGTGTAAATTTTACAAAATTTTCTAACCCCAGCCCCAAACATGGTGGGGCTGAGGTTATTGGAGACTCACACCGTACCAATCAATGCTTCCGCCACCCCTGATTACGGAGGATATTTGTAGAGAATGAAATTTAAATTTGTTAGATTTATTTCTTTAAAAAAAACCCCATTAAGTTTCTTGATATGTTTAAATTAATTTGTTTAATTAAGTCATCATCATCTTGCACTGAGCTTGTTCCTTGTGTCATGCACTATGAAACTTTGGGTGATCTGACGTCATCGAAGCATGTGTTTGCACACCACTGTTGCACCCCTGAAAAACAAAATTAACAAATTTGCGGACAGGATTTCGGAGGCGCGGTCTCTGCCATCAGCAAAGTGAATGCAAAATAAATAACGAAATTAAGAACTTGAGTGCTATTTCCGAGCACCTAGACATATAAATTGTACAAAATTTTCTAAAATGGCAATCATGTGTTACTTATTGTACAACATACATATTATGATAAAATATTTTTCTTTTGAATATTAAATATTAATCAGGCTGCAAAACAGTTTCTGAATGTCCCGTACGCCACATATGGAATTGCCCTACCTTAGTACAATGTACATACCTCTGACACCAACTGGAGTGCGGGATATCCCTCCATGATGTTTAATTAATGGAAACAGGATTTTCAAAGATATTTCTCCGCTGGAAACCATAGGTTGCTGATTAACGCATAATTTTGGTAAATCAACTTTGACCTTTGTCATCCTCTGTTTCTACTACCTCACATTTTCTTTTCTTTTTTATCTCTGGTTTTACCACTGCTGCACCTCCAGTTCCATTTTCAGCAGCAACTCGTTCAGTTTTCATGATATTCTTGAAATGATTTTTGATGGCTGACTGCCTAGAACTCTAAAATAACATTCAAAAATCTAATTCAACAATGAAAGTTAATGTTCTCTTTAAATATCTTAAAAAATCAAGGGCGAAAAAAAATTTTTTTTTTGTTTTTCTTATTTAGCAAATATAAATTGCTAAAAACATCTAGACGGAGAAGAAAATAAAATAAAATTTGTTTGATGGAACACTGTAAATGGGATGGTTAAGTGCTTTAAATTTATATAATTAGGAATAGAAATATGTAATTCTTATTTTAAGGCAGCGGTGGGCATACAGTAATAAAAATATAGAAAAACTTTTATTTTTTTTAATTCCTCTGAAATTTCTATAGTCCACCGGAAATACGGATTTGACTGGACAAAATTGCAACAAAACATGTAAAACAACATACTAAAAGTTTACCAAAATAGGACGTACATAAAGGTGTTTTTATAACCAAAAGTTCAGCACTATTTAAAAGTAGACTTTTACACGGTAAGTACTGCGGTTTTCAAACTTTTCTTGATTATGATTGGTAGACCGGGGGTTGAGGCTCCAAAATCGGCTTAGTTTACGAATTCTGTGACCCACCGATCCGCGCTACTTGGCATTCGCACAAAAATGTCAATACTATTTTATTGAAACATAATATAATTGTCGGCAATCGTAAATTTGAAGAAACTGTGACCAAAAATGAGAATTTATCTTCGAAAAATTAATGTCGTTCACGAAAGCAGTACCCAATCACAGCACACTTACCATACCTGTTAAGCATTGATGAGACGCTATTAGCCAATCACAAACGTTCTTGTAAACTCGGTAACTAATGTATTCCAGATGTGTATAAGAGACAGCCTATGGTACCTATGGTAAAAATCTCAGGGGCATCCCAAGATTTTACATTTTTTGCTAATTGTACCAAAAATGGCCGAGCTAAATGGCCGAGCGGTTAAGGCAGGGGCACCGTGATCATAGCCAACAATATCGGCACAGGTTCGCAGCCGGCTCGCTCCTATAGTCCTGGTGGTGGAACAAGTCTTCTCGGATAAGGACTATAAACCATAGGCCCAGTGTACACAAATGCTCATGTGCACCCGAGATGAGTAGGGGGTTACCCCCGTGTACTGTTCACTCGGCCCGTCGTGGACAGATGAAAGTGCGCCAGTTTACTGGCTGCGGTGGACATGAAGTGACCCTCAGGGGAGGAGAAAGTTATTGAAAAGTGCAACATTAGTCCCGAGCGCATAGAGACCTCGTTTATCTGCGCTATATAAATCCATCTATTATTATTATTAAATTGATGGTTTTGGAGAAAATAATTCACAAGGCAGGAATTCTTAAAGATCGATTAATAACACCAATTTTAAAATTTTTTATGGTTTTATAACCAAAACTATACTTTGGTTTAACTGATATTTGTTGTGACCTTTCAAAAATAAACAGAAGGCTTAATGAATTGAGCCTTATCCAATGTTCTTGCCAGAGCCTAATTTTTGATGCCTCACAAATAGGCTTCAAATGTTGTGTCAATAAATTATATATTGATATCATATTTTGTGGGTATAGTTATGTTTAATTAGTTGTAATTCAATTTGTGTGTGAAGAAAGTATTATTCAGAGTGAGATTGAGAGATGTGTCAAAACATTTGTTTCCTATTTTAAACAGTGACAAATTGTGAGCAAAATAATTTATGTAATTAGATTTCTATAATTCAAACAAAATCCTATAGACTAAAATATCTTAAATAAGATAAAGACAGTTTATAGTTAATAGTTTAGGCCTATAGCATCATATGAATTGTATGTAACACATCATCCAAAAAATCTGTAAGAAATAGGCCTACTTACAGTACATGATCCCAAAATGTGTCAGAGCATGGATCTATTTTTAATGCCCATTGTCTCTTTTAAAATAGATTGGAGCGGTAGGAGCGGTGTGGTTTACTTATCAACTCCTACAATAATTTTTTTTATTTGATTTTTTAAATTTAAAAATTAAAAAAAAAATTTTTTTTAATAAATTTCATTTCACTTCATTATTTATTTGGTCATTTACAACAGCAACAAAAACAAAAGCTGAAATTAATTGATTTTTTTAAATTTTTATTTTGATTTATTTATTTATTTTTTATTTGCTTCTTCAGTCGTCAATTGTTACCTACCCACCTCTCCCCCGCTCATCAGCATTTTGAAGTGTAATATAGTGTAATAGACAGTGTGGGATGATTTAGCAGAATTTTTTGCTTCCCCCTAGTAGAATGTCATTTTTGCGCTGGTCACACACTGCCTAATTGTAATGCAAATAAAGAGGGGAATACATGTTTTGAAGGTCTGGTTCGCAAAAAATATCCCCAGTGATACCACCGTTATAATGATTAATTGTTTGATGCTTTCAAATCGGGCGAGATTGGAGAAGGAGGAGACATAGGAGAGAGAAGATTTTACGACGGTACGTATTGCTAACTGTGCTTGTCATGAATCACCCTTGTCATAGGCCTAACTAGTAGGTCTAGGCTAGTGTATTTGAATGGGTCAGTGGCAGTGCGGCAGCGGTCTAGTTAGGCCCCGTCTACCAATGGAAACGGTCGCACAGGCCTACACATGTTAAGAAAATCAGTTTGGTATAGGCCTAATAAGATTTGTAAATGTTGAGGTTTAATGTAAAAATTGTCCTTTGAGAAGCAAGAATATCGAAATGTATCAAGCAAGTATGTCTAGAGTAGGCCTAAGCCTAACCCAGCAGGTCTGTCTAGGCCCAGCCCTACCTAGGGAGTTTGTTTTTGTCATCCAGTCATGACATTCATTTGTTTTTACATCAGTTCTACAGTATAGCTCTTCAAAACATATAAAATGTCACACTGTTTTGTAATTTTTTTCACAGGTTGTTGCAAAATTTGGTCCCACGAAGAAGGTAGACACATCCATTCAAGTTCAATATATGTATATTCCCTTAATTCATTCTTTCAAAATACATATTGCAATAATAAACTTACCAAAGCATATGCACTTGCAATGACAGCAGATGTAAAAAGAGGGTCAATAATTTCTTCATTTTCTATATACTTTACCTTGCCAGATGTATTTATGAATTCTCACTTTTCATATTTAGAAACTGTACTGTATTTTAGCAAAATGTGTTACTGGACAATAAAAACATGTTTTCTTTGTAAATTTGAGTCCGTTCTTGTGACTTTTTATGTGTTTGTCCTCAACCAAATGCACCAGCGAACGCTGATGGGACGGTTGGCAGAAAAAAAAAAAGACATCCCTGCCTCATCAGTTTTTATACTGGGATAGGGTGATAAACTAAATTTTTTTACGGGGCCTTATAATAGGCCTTTATTAAAAACAAAATTAAATGTCCACAAAACCCTACCTTGGATTAGTGTACATACCTCTGACACCAACTGGAGTGCGGGATATCCCTCCATGATGTTTAATTAATGAAAAAAGGATTTCAAAGATAATGCAAAACTTAAAAAACACATAAGAAAATCACAGAAAATGTCAATAGAAAAATCAATTTTACATAAAGAATTGTATAACTTAGGCAGACGATTGATAAACTCATTATTAGTAACATTGACTCTCCCCCTCAAATTGGAAAGAGAGCAGGAGAAAGAGGAAAATGAACTGCAAAAAGAAAAATTAAATCAAAAAGTTTACGGCGGTCAGCTAATGGGATTAAGAAATCTTAACTAACAAAACCAAATTTGCGAAAATAAAATCTAAAAACTTATTTTGAATACGTTGTGTTCATCATCTTCATCATCATCTATCATCATCCATCATCATCCTTATCCTCATCATCAACTCATCCTTATCCTCCTTATCATCATCACTAATTATCATCATTCATCATCATCCTCATTATCATCATCATCATTGTCATTATCATCCTCATTACAATCATCATCTATCATCATCCATCATCATCATCCTTGTCCTCCTCGTCATCATCAACCACATCATCATCATCCTTATTATTCATCATTATCACCATCATCCTCATTCTCGTCATCATTCTTATACTCATCATCATCCTCTTTATCATCATCATCAATTATCATCTTCACCATGAGGATGATGATGATGATGAGGAGGAGGACGACAAGAATGAAGATGAGCATGAGGGGCAGAGGGATGTTTCTCATCATTCATAATCATTAACCTCATCAACATCATTCTTATCAATCATAATCATCATCATCTTCATCTTATCAAACTCATCATCCTAATCCTCCTCCTTATTATCATCATTACCCTCACCATCATTATCAGCATCATCTTCTTCCTCATCATCATCCATCATCAATCATCATTGACCTCATCATCTTCCTTCTCCTCATCGACCGCACCACCCTCATCCTCCCCATCATAATTCTTTTCTTCATCATCATAATCATAATCATCATTACTATCATCCTCATTATTATCATCATCCTCATCATCCTGATTACTGTCATTATCATCATCATTACCATCATCATCATCATCATCATCATCATCATCATCATCATCATCATCATCATTACCATCATCATCATTATCCTCTTCATCAGCAGTCACCATCATCATCATGAGGATGATGATGATGAAGAGGACGAGGACGAGGAGGACTAGAATGAAGATGAGGACGAGAGTGAGGATGAGAAGGATGATTCTCATTATTCATCATCATCATCATCATCAATCCTTTTCTATCATCCTCATCACTATCATCACAATCATCCTCATCAACAACCATTATCATCAATCATAATCACCATCATCTTCTTCCTCATCCTCATCTACCTCATCATCTTTCTTCTCCTCCTCATCATCAACATCCTCATTATAATGGGGATTATATTGTGGATGGGGATGGCAATGCGGAAGATGAAGATGATGATGATAATAATGAAATCAGTATAGTAAGAATAACATTACTAACGCTAATATTAATTTGAATCATAAACTATAAATTGCTAATGCATAAGAATAATGATATACTATATTAATAATTTTATATATTAACAACATAATAATATATAATAATGATGATGAAGAAAAATGTAGTGTAGAAAGATTAAATTTAAATAGGTAAACATTTCCTTCAATTTTGATTGTCGTAGTCTTGGAATTTGGCGTGTTGACGCCAAAAAAAGTTACTAAAAACATAAATATGTTTTCCATACCCCAAACCAAAAATTGGTTAAAGCAAAATTTCGTTATTTCGTTTTTTTTATTGGGTTTACTTTGTAGTAGTTCATTAATTATATATATGTTTTATTGTATTCCTGTCTGTATAATATTGTTTTGAGATTGTATTTGTACTTTGATAATAAATTATTTTTACATTAAAAACATAGTTTTTCCCGCCATAATGGACGCCATCTTGGAATTTGTCATGATGACGTCATCATACGATCAAATTTTTAATGAGAGTGATGAGTAACTATTTAGCTAAGTTGTTATATTTCATATCCACAGTATATGTAAAAGTGACTAAAAACATAAATTTATTTCCCCTACCCCATCTTAAGTAGTTTAAAATACGGTATTTTAGGCCAAAATTTCAAAGTGCTGTAAAAAACATTGCCCAAGCCCTAGGCATTGGGAATTTTTATCTGATACACTATAGATTATACTGATTCAGAAAAACAAAAAATAAATTTTCCTTTACTTTTTTCCCGCTAAAGTTCATTTCAGCAGTTTTAAACAGGCTATAGACAGATGCGGAGTAGACATTATTGGTAGGGTTGCCAGATAGTCGACAGGTTTCACGGCCAAAACACACAACAGTGGGTGCATAATATTCATTTTAAATACAAAAATTACACGAAAATCAATTGTTATTTGTTTGAAAGGGGTTTGAAATTGAAGAAATTAAAATTATATACGTAGAACAATATTAATCTTTCACTGTTTTTTGTTTTTATAGGGCTTATTTAAAGTCACATTATTAAGATCGATCTAAATTTGATTTAAATGTATTAAATAACGTAAATTGTAGTCGATCTATAGCAATAATGTTAAGGGCCTGTTATAGAATCTTCAATGACAAATCCGTGGCTCTCTTTAATTAGAAAGTTACATTTGTAAGGTAACACAAACCGGTGTAAAAACAAACCTATGAAAACTTTAATAAATACTTTTCATCTAAAAGTTTCTAAATGCTAAATTCCGAATGTTATTGTTGCCGTACTTAAAACCATAAATCAATGTCCCTATCAGAACTATCTTCTTCATGATTCTCATATATAACATAACTCCAGAGTAACTTCGAAGAAGTCTCAGCAACACTTGCTTGAAATTGGAGGTGCCATTGGACCCGAATGATCACATCCAGCATTTATATGGCACTTCACAAAGAACACTGCAGCGCCTATACAACTTATTTTATTTTATTCAATTCTCAACCAAAAGAGATAGAAACTAGGCTGCAACATTTACAAAGAAACACAATATATGGTACAAACTTGCAATAAACTGTCTTCATGAAGTTTTAAACGAGGATAAACGTCATAAAAATACATACTTCATCCGAACAATTTAAATTATTAAATGTAACTGCTAACCTTTTAAATATTAAACTCTTTTACGTCAACTCGGCCATGGAGGGACATAATGTTTAGTGCGAGTACAAATACAAACGTTCAATGTACAGGTACACGATTAGAATCAAAACTTTTCTACAAAATTAATAACATATCCAAAACAAGTCTACGTTATATGTTAGGCCTATATTATATATAATGTTAACTTTTCACAAAATTCGGCCACATTCGGCCAAATAGTTTGGCCGTGACTTTTCAAACGTTACGGCCAGGCGAATTTTTATACGGTCAGATTTGAGGAATCTGGCCGTCAAAAAGGCCAAATGGCAACCCTGATTTATTGGTGTCTCCAGAAACTCGTTGGAGAGGCGAAGGATTTTTCAGCTCTGATGACGGTACAAAAATATTCTACAGTGGAGGAAATGAAAGTGCAAAGGGATATTCCTGTTGAAGAATGAGGCTCCGCGGGCAGTCATTGGATATCGTGCTGTCAGTCACAGAATCATGGCAGTCAACTCAGTGGAAAACCATTCAATGTCGCAATCATTCAAATCTACGCACCAATATCCTCATACGATGATGACGTGATTAACTGTCTATGACCATGGAGGTATAAAATATTTTATACCTCCATGCTATGACGCTCTCCAAGAAACTATTGATAATACACCCACACAGGACATTCTAGTCGTAATAAGCGACTTTAATGATGGGTGACTTAAATTCGATGGAATAAGGGCGGTATATCATTATCTACAGACGTCTATTATACCAGCTCCTGATACTAGTACAGTATAATTATTGGAAAATGCCGTTATTAACGATTTTTTACAATCGAATCTATCTTTGGAAGTTTCTTTTGTACTAAAGGAAATACGAATACCAAGGTACTGACTTTTCACTTAAATTATATAAGATTTTGGATGTGTCATGAATGTGATTTAGAAGGCCATAGAAAGAATCAGTGTAGGGCTGAGAAACTGCCTTACAATAATTCAGGTGAGACACTAATAGAACAATTGTGGGAGCGAGTTAAAAAGAAAGCAAGGATGCAGACACAAAAATAGTAACGGCTCCGATTCAAGTGGTGATGAAACCGAAGAGGATGGTGACGAGGATGATAATAAAGAACAAAGTCAACCAAAAGAAGGAAATGAAAAGAAACAAGGGAAAATAACACATTATATGAAACAAACAACTACGGACACAAGAAAAAATAAAATCAATAATCATCATTGAATCTTGTGACACTAGACCAGCAATTCTAACAGACCACAGCGGTTTCACCTAAAATATCAATGACTAAAGAAAAACGGGGACCAGGCTTATGACAGTTTAACTGCGAACTCGTATCTGATCAAGAATGTTAACAGTGTGTAAAAAAAAGTAATCGAAAAGTCTAAGAACGACCTAAGTTTAGACCCATGTACATGGGAGTTAACTAAAAATCAAATCAAAGCATTTTCTATTGCCTATGTAAAAAGGAAAAGTAAAAAAAATAATATTTAAAAAAAATTGAAAATTAAATAAACATTCTTAATGAAAAACGTATGCATAGGCACAGTGAAAACATTGAAAAAAGACTGAAATATAAAAGAAAGATCTTGAAAAATATTATCATAAACAGGCAACAGGAGCTCAAATACGAGCGAAAGTTAAATGGATAGACCAAGGTCAGAAAAACATTAGATATTTGCTAGGACTTGAAAAATCAAGAGGTAAAAAACAAACAAATAACTAAAATAAAGACCTATAAGGACTTTGAGTTAAATAAACCGTCTGATATTCTGGCAGAGGAAGTAAAATTCCTCTCAAATCTGTAAAAATAGAGGAGCCTACACGACATCAAATTGGTGAATATCTCAATTCAATTGACACTACCAGCTTGGTGG